GGTTAACCTCAGGCTCTGTCAAGAATACAGCTAAAATGAGGAAGATGTAGTTTGTAGGACTAGAGGAATTTGGAATAGTGCCTTGTGAAAACCTATCACTCCCCCCACCCCGTTCAATTACATTAGTTTGATTCAAAATGTGCAATTCCTATTAAAAACTTATTCCACAGATAAACCTCATTTAAAAATGAGAGTAAACATGTGTCCACGGAAGATAGCAGAAAGAACTCCCAGAAGGGCGACCTTGGAACATTTCAGAAACATGATCGTTCTTGTGCTGGTTCCGGTCCAGGTGTCACTGAGAAAGAGAAGCGGGGGAGAAGGTTTTTGGCAAGATCCCATTTATTTTGCTATCAAATATCCCTGCTCCCTCCAACTAGATGTAGTTTCACCACATCAGTCATATTTCAATACGGGGTAGACAGATGAACTTGTCCCATTCAATCACTAATATTGATTCCCTAGCAAAAAAGAAACTTTGAATTCCTTGGCACCCAATGTGCTAATCCATACGCAAAATTAAGGACAGAGAATTAACAGGTGCTCTAATCAAACGTTTTTAGAATGAATTTAATAATGGACCACATTCCATTACATTTCTCCTCTAAATATTATGGAAAAAGCTATTTGTCTACAAATATTCTTTCCAAGTTATGATCAGTATTCCCAATAGATGGAATGGAGCTATTGTCTAAATATTATATAAATGTATTCCTACTATGTTAAGGCAAAACTTTGTGCTGATCCAAAAGGTGTATTTTTTTTTTGAGAACTCTATTAAATTTTCCAAACTGGCCTGTGAATGTAGAATTAAATAGATATGAGGTACCATAACATGTGGCCATCTTTCTTGTTGAAATCCATCAATAAACTCTATCTAACGCATAATAAAGTGCTTTAGAGTTACACATTAATTTGGAAAATTAGCATAAAAATATTTAGAGATACATATTTTAATGTGTACACATTAGAATGCAAGTTGCTTTTGAAAAGCTTTTAAAAAACAGGTGGTTTTACATGGAGTATTTTTAATCAGTGCTTTTCTATCAGGAAGAGTACCCGTGGTTGGTAAAGTTTTCTGGGAACCTGGACTATAAGAAAAGATACTTGTCTCAGTCGGAGGGGTAAAGGCATCCTTGATGAAACAGAGAGGAGACTAAGAGTAGGGTCATGGAGACAGGCTTGTCTCCATGAGATTTTTCCACTCTTGGATGATGAAGCTTCTTATCCAAAGCTATGAACATTTCTCAATAATCAAAAATACCTCTCCCCACTATGTTTCAGTCCATGTGCATTGCTATCATGCACATGGTCTTAAACTAATTTAGACATGTATAACTTGTAAATTCTTACTGGTAGAAAACAGGCCAACCAAGATGTTTGAAGAGGGTCAGAGCTGGCTAATCCTCTAGAAGCATGCTACTTAGTTATAATAACAGTAAGTTTCAAATCAATGTCTTTCACACAAATGACTGAGTTTGTTTCTTTTTTAAACATTTATTTGGAAGCAGTCTTTGAAAGTCCACATGACTGGTTCTGTAAATTTGATAAGTTCAGCCTTCTGTCCTACTAGGTATTGTGACCATCACTTACATGAAACATTCACTCAAGGTGAGTGTAATAATGGGTCAGAGGTAGAGGCTGGGGGTCTTTATGGTCTATGTATGGCAACCAAAATTCTCCCCAACTAGTGGGCTGGCACCTCATCCTTACGAACCGTTTCTTGAAATGCAGCCTAGATGTGTACACCCTGTTAATCCAAGGGTTAGAATTTCTCTAAAAATATTTTGAATACTTTACCAATGAGAACTCATTTCTGATATTAACCATGATATTTAATAGGATACTAATTTTAACAACTTTTTTTTTCTGACAATCACCGAGCTACTTAGTAAAGCATTGTTATTAATCTAAATGGGATAGCAGAAGCACAGGTAGAAGCCAATTCTAGAATAAGAGTTTTTAAATTAAAAATGCTAGCTAGATTCCCTCGGAGTGTGAATTCCTGATTAGAGCAGCCATCTGCACATGCTTATTGCTTAACCACTTAACAAACCTATAACAGCATAATCTAGAGGGCTACGCTGAAACATTTTAAAGTAAATTTTATTCATCTCACCAACAGCACACAGTTCTTGCCACTTTGGAAGTGACCGGTTATTTTTTGCACTCTTGACTCCATGGTTGCCTATTATCAGGGTGTTAGCAATTTATCATCTTTACAGATTTCTTATTTCCTATAAACAAAGCTGGACCCAAATATGGATAAAATCTCCAGCCTTCAAGTTTTTCAAGTTAAACATAGATACAACCTTCATTCCCTAGCATGTATATGCACTTCGACTGATATGTTGTAGCTAATAATAGTAAGTCCTTTGTGGTTGTATATAATTGTCTCATTTGTCTTTGATTAAGCAAAGGATGATGTCTCATACCCATCAACATGCTCAGATTCAAGAGTCCTCTGCTCAAATTTCATCATCAACAGATATTTGTTTATGGAGGCTGAATCAAGATGTTAACCCAGTGCCTTGCTTCTTAGAGTACAAATGTTGAGAACAAAGGAAATAGATAAACTAGTTTGCTTAAGAGTTAC